TTTTTTCTCCTAAAAGCATTTATTAAGATTACAATACGTCAGCACAGCATGGTGGAATGCTTAGATCTGCTTCTCTTCCGTTAGGCATAACATTCCAAACATTTTCCACTCCCTTATTGTAGGGTCATGGTTCACATCTTCCAATCAACTTGGAAGATGTGATTTACTTCCGGTTTCTTTCTCCCGGGCTATCCTTATGGTCCTCCCTCTTTCCTGGTTGCTGGTTTAACTATATAAATACCAGACAGTTCTGCACATTGTCAAAGCAAGAATATACAGTATTTGCAGTGTTGACAGTACCTGTGGGACCATAGTCTTGCAGAAGCACAGCCCCTACGGCCACATCCGATGCATCCGTCTCCACCACAAACAGCCTCAAGGGATCAGGATGCTTGAGGATGGGCTTGGATGCGAAAGCAGCCTTAATGGCATCCAAGGCCCTCTGCTCCTCAGCCCCCCAGCGGAACTTCACCCCTTTCCTTAACAGATTGGAAAGGGGAGCAGTCAGGGTCGCAAAGCGAGGAATGAACGTGCGGTAATAATTCGCAAACCCCAACAGTCGCTGCACATCCTTGACCCTCCGCGGAGGCTGCCATTCCTGCAGCGACTTTACTTTCTCCGGGTCCATCTCCACACCCTTGGGCGAGATGCAATGGCCATCTGAGGGAGTGCGCTTCCCCGGCAAGAAGTGTGCCACCCATCACCTATATGCCTGCAGAGGGAAGGTGGAGACACATGGAGATCTGAACCTACCGGCAGAGTTGGGGGATTATGACAATGTGTTTGGGGAAAAAGAGGCGGATCAGTTGCCCCCGCATCGGTCTTATGACTGCCTGGTTGATTTAGTGCCTGATGCCAAATTGCCGGTTGGCTGGATTTACTCCCTGTTGGAGCCGGAGTTGGCAGCCTTGAGGGACTTCATTGACAAGAACCTCCAGAAGGGGTTTCTACGGCCTTCCACCTCCCCATTGGCTGCGCAAACTGGCACTTCTCACGCTTGGCAAAGAGATGATTATCCCGATCAGGATGTCGTCGAGGTAGATGACCACAAACCTATCCAACAGATCCCTGAACACGTCATGCATAAAATGCATGAACACTCCCGGACCGTTAGTCAAGCCAAAGGGCCATAACTGTGTACTCAAAATGTCCATAACGCGTCCGGAAGGCCGTCTTCCACTCATCTCCTGCTCGAACTCGGACTAAGTTGTAAGCTCCCCATCAGTCCAACTTCGTAAAGATTTTGACCTGGCGGAGTCTCTCGATGAGTTCGGGGATGAGCGGGAGTGGGTACTAATTACAGATCATGATGGCATTCAATTTCCGGTAATCACAGCACAGTCTAAGCTCTTCTTCTTCACGAAGAGCACTGGCGCAGCCAACGGGGAGGTGGAAGGCCGTAGAAACCCCTTCTGGAGGTTCTTGTCAATGAAGTCCCTCAAGGCTGCCAACTCCGGCTCCAACAGGGAGTAAATCCGGCCAACCGGCAATTTGGCATCAGGCACTAAATCAACCAGGCAGTCATAAGACCGATGCGGGGGCAACTGATCCGCCTCTTTTTCCCCAAACACATCGTCATAATCCCCCAACTCTGCTGGTAGGTTCAGATCTCCATGTGTCTCCACCTTCCCTCCGCAGGCATATAGGTGATGGGTGGCACACTTCTTGCCGGGGAAGCGCACTCCCTCAGATGACCAAATAATGTGCGGATCATGAGCCCTTTACCACTCCAATCCCAGCACCACTGGAAAGCACCACGGCTTCTTCCACATGCGGCTCAATACACATGTGAATGGGTGTGGTTGCAGCAACCACTGGGCTGGAACGAAGGGGCTGCCCATCAATCGTCTCCACCAAGACCGGCGGTGACAACTGCTGCTGGGGAATGGACCACTGCGTAGCAAAAGCCAAGTCCATGAAATTGGCAGTAGCCCCTGAGTCCACCAAGGCCTGGACCTCCACCACTCCTTGACCAGGCACGAACACAGTCGCTGGTAACACAAGGTGCTTAACAAGAGTCTGTTGTGGTGGAGGTACTGGACTCGTTTCCAAGTGAGCCCGGCCTATGGAGCCCTCTAGGCCGGGCCTGGCCCATTTCCTGCCGGTGCTTTGGGTGCCTTCACAGGACACTTGGCCTCCATATGGCCTGGACCACCACAATACAGGCAAAGGCCTTCGCGGCGGCAGCAATCCTTTTCAGCTTGGGTCAGTCGAGGTCGTGCAGCCCCCAACTGCATTGGCTTGTCCAGAGGCAGTGCCAACGGTGCCACTGTTTTAACGGGTGCGGGCAAGGCCTCCGTCTGTTGTCACACTCGTCGCTGCTGGAGTCTTGCATCGATACGGAGACACAGGTGCATGAGCTCCTGCAAGGAGCGAGGGCATCCGGTGCGTGCCAGCTCATCCAGGAGTTCGGACGAAAGTCCTTCCTGAAACTGGTCCATGAGTGCCGCCTCGTTCCACTGCAGTTCCTGACAAACCACCTGAACCGTAGCGATGTAGTCTGCCAGTGAACCACGCCCCTGCCGCAACTGTCTCACCCACCGGTTTGCAGTCTGGGCCCTAACAGGGTCCTCAAACATGGCCTTGAGTTGCCGGCAAAACTCTGCATAATTGTCCAGCAGCTGATTGGGCTGGGTCAGAAGGGGTGTTGCCGAACGTGCCACTGTTCCTGTCAAAAGGTTTATCACAAACCTCACCTTATCCAGGTCAGTGGGGAAGTCCTCAGGTCGAAGGCTCATACACAACTGGCACTGCCCAAAGAACGATGAGAATTGTGCTAGTGAGCCATCAAATTTCTCTGGCACTGTAACAGGGCTTCTGCGGCGTGGCCGAGCTGCTTGCATCTGTGCCATCTGTGCAGTCAGGAGGGCCACCTGCTGTTGTAACTGATCATTTTCTGCACGGAGCTGATCCATGGTCGCCCAACTTGGTCTGGAGGAGCAATTGGGAGTGGGCCGGGAACAAAATGTGATGACCCAGGGCCCCGAACGGAGGCAAAGCAGTCAGCTGGCAAGAGAAACAGTCCTTTAATCACTGCCATTGTTCCCCAAAAGCTCCCACATATGCTGGCAAGAGTTCAGCCAAAGCACACACAAACGTTCCTTTCAGCTGCCTCTGGCTAAAGGCAATTTCAATACAGCCGGAGAAGTTTACAATGTCCTCAAGGCAAGGCAGATAACAAGAAAACAAAACAGAAACGTAATGAATCCTTTTAACTCTCAGCTTGCCTGCAGACTGCAAGGAGAGACTCAGAAATGCAGTGTGTGATCGTGAAACAGGAAACCAACCGGTCCGGAATTCAAAGTGTCCAGGTTAAACAAAGACAAGAGCACAATTCACAACTATCTCAAGATACCACGTATGTTCCCGGCAAATGCCCCACCCCACAGCATCTCCTTAAATCTTAATCCCCAGATGTGCCTTGTGGAGTGGGGCGGGATGCTCTCCTCCCGAGCAATTGAGCCTGCCTCCATTGTTCTCTCCTCCTCTCTGCTCTCCTTGCTCTAGAATCAGGTGGCGGGGGGCCTTGCTTCTTGCCTGAACTCTGCCTTTCCTGTTCCAAACCTGAAGGGTCCTGGCCTGCCTCAGCCTGCTCCTCCCTACAGTCCTCCGAAGCCACAGACACCCCCTCCTGGGCCTCAACAGAGTCCTGCTCTAACTCCATGTCTTCCTCAGATTCAGGCTCGGATGGAGGCATGACAGGTTGCAATGAAAAATGGGGTGAATTTGCCTGAGTGACTTTGGGAGTTTCAATTCTACCGTTACTTGATTTATGATTCTAACGATTGGGAATGGTCCTATGTATTTCGGTCCCAGCTTCTTTGATGGCTGTAGGGATTTTAGGTATTTGGTTGGGAGATAAACCATTTCTCCTATTTGGAATGGCTCCGGCTCAGTTCTTTTTTTGTCTGCTTGTGCTTTGTAAGCTTGTCTAGCATCGTCTAGTGCTTTTCTAACTACCGGCCAGATATTTTTTAATTGATCTATCCACTCCTTTAGGGAGGGGATGGCCGGCTCGTTGGGTGATCGTTCTAGCATTGGGTTAAAGCTTTGGCCGGTGGCTACTTGGAAAGGGGTGTAGCCCGTGCTGGAGTGAACTGCATTGTTGTAGGCAACTTCTGCGAACGGAATTAAGTCAGTCCAGTTTTTCTGCTGGAAATTAATAAAGCATCTTAAATATTGTTCAAGTACTGAGTTTGAACGTTCCGTCCCACCATTCGTTTGCGAATGATGACTAGATGACAGTCCTTGGGTGGTTCCTAAAAGGGATAGGAACTCTTTCCAGAACTCTGAGGTGAATTGCACCCCCCTGTCTGATATGATGCGTTGGGGTGCCCCATGCAGCCTGTAGATGTGTTGAACGAACAGTTTTGCTAGGGTTTTGGTGGTTGGGATTTTTGAACAGGGAATGAAATGCACTTGTTTGGAAAACAGGTCTGTCACTACCCAAATAACTGTATTTCCACGGCTTTCTGGTAGTTCTACTATAAAATCCATGGAGATTTCCTTCCATGGTGCTGAGGGGCTTGCTACTGGTTGCAGCAGCCCGGGTGATTTCCCTTGCAGTCTCTTTGCAGCTGCACACGTTGGGCAGCTGGCTACATAGCTTTCAATGTCCTTTTTGAGAGAGGGCCACCAGAATTGTCTTTTGATTAGATGTAGTGTCTTCACGAATCCAAAGTGGCCCGCTGATTTTGTATCATTGCATAACTGCATAAACGTGAGCCTTTGGCTTTTTGGTATGTATAGCTTCTCTCCCACCCAGGGTAGACCATCTGTGATTGTGCAAAGGTTTTTGTGGCTTAGGAACCATTCATTGGTTTCTAAGGCTTTTCTAAATTCGATCCCTGCTTGGCTGACTAATGGTTTTCTCAATTTTGCTTGTGCCCGGGTAGTTACCCGTGCTGCCAGTTGCATTTCTGGCAGAAGAGGCTTTGTAACACTAGGTTTGGTACTGTTGTATTGGGGCATGCGGGAGAGTGCATCGGCTAGGAAATTCTTCCCCCCTGGAAGGTGTTTGATTGTGAAATTGAACCGGTGAAAATGTTGCAACCACCGGGCTTGCTTTGGGATGAGTTTCCTGGGTGTTTTTAACGCTTCCAGGTTCTTATGGTCAGTCCAGACCTGGAAGGGGATTTTATTCCCTTCGAGGAAATGTCGCCAAGTGAGGAGCCCCCACCTCACCGCGTACACCTCTTTTCCCCATACTGCCCATCGCTGCTCTGTCTCCATGAGTTTTCGAGAGGTGTAGGCACAGGGTTGCAAGGCCCCTTGCTTGTTTTCTTGCAATAGAACAGCTCCTACCGCTACGTCGCTGGCATCTACTTGTATTACAAAAGGCTTATCTGGGTCAGGGTGCCGCAGGACGGGTTCAGCCGAAAAAAGTCTTTTTAGTCTTTCAAAAGTGGCTTGGCATTCCACCATCCACTTTAGTGGTTGGCTGGGTTTCGGTTTGTCTGCCCCTTTGGTTTTTAATAAATTTGTGATTGGTAGAGCTGTTTGGGCAAACGAGGCGATGAATTGGCGGTAGAAATTAGCGAACCCCAGGAAGCTTTGTAATTGCTTACTTGTGCGGGGTGGTGCCCATTCCAGCACCGCCCAAACCTTTTCAGGGTCCATTTCTATGCCCTCGGGAGAGATCCGGTATCCTAGGTAGTCTATCTTTTCTTTATGGAATTCACACTTTGATAGTTTAGTGTAAAGGTGAGCAGCCCGTAATTTCTTTAGGACGGCTCTGACTAGGTTCACATACTCCTCCATGGTCTCTGTGGATATAAGGATGTCATCCAGGTAAACCAGTACTCCCTTGTATAGGTGCTCCCGCAATACGCCATTTATCAATTGCATGAAGACTGCTGGAGCTCCTTGCAGTCCAAAAGGTAGGACCCTGAATTGGTAGCACCCCATGAGGCAATTAAAAGCGGTTTTCCGTTCATCTCCCTGTTTGATTCTAATGCGGTAGTAAGCCTCCCGCAAGTCCAATTTTGTAAAGATTTTCCCCTTCGAGAGGTGGGATAGCGTATCCTTCATTAGTGGCAAGGGGTACAAATTACTTTCACATATAGCATTCAGGGCCCTATACTCCACACACAGACGAAGAGTCCCGTCCTTTTTTTCCCTAAACAAAACTGGAGCGGCCACCTTGGGTGAGGCG